TCCGTTTTCTACGTCAGTTTGAACTACACAAGTTGTGCTCTATGCCGAGCTATTTTTTAGAAAAGGGTACAGTCTAATTTTTGAGATACAGAGCTGTCAATGCACCTTCTGTGTGGATGTAGAAATAGATATAAAGCAACAAACGAAGAAAAGAACAAATTTTATTGTTTTACCCAAAAGGAAAATCGCATTCGTTATAAAATGGGAGTATATTCTGTCAACTTCACAGATTAAAAAGTTAACAAATTTGGAAGTACCCCTCTCCAGTTTTTATCAGTGATTCGTCAGGTGATGAATATGCTATGGATATTGATGCTGAAGAATTAAATTTTAATGAAAAAATTTCGTTAACCGATATTGGTGACCTTGCTGAAATGTGCAAGTTGAAATGTGCAAGTTGAAATGTGCAAGTTGAAATGTGCAAGTTGAAATGTGGAACGAAATATCTTAGCACTTTGGTTTATATGTCATTACGTTTCTTCGACATTAAATGGGAAAATGTCGACGAGTATTTGAAGAGTATTGATTTTATGAGCACACAAACTTCTCATAAATGGGCAAAAGTGTTTAGCAAAGGAGATTATGAAGAGTTTTCAAATGATTTACGTGGTGGTAAACAAACTGATTCGTTTTATGATACCCTTTCCGAGACTGAAGCAGATGCAAAAGCATTTGTCGTTCAAGCGTGTTCACGAAAGTCAGGCGAATTCAAGGCTTTGGATTCGGCTTAGTTTATCGATGAAAAATATTATGAATTAACAGGAATTAAAAAACAAATTGGCGATGATTTCATAAGATCGGAAAGAAGTTGTCGTCTCGATCTTCGCAGATGGGAGCTAAATTTGATTGAGGTCGTGGTCATATGATTTCTGATTTTCTTGTTCACATCCAGGGTGCAGCGCCCATAAGTGTTCCTTCGAAGTTCCGCTCGAGAGCTCCAAAGAATATAAAAATATTGAGAAAAGAAATGAGATAGTACGCTATTGGCGTGTGCATAAGCTGACGTCCATGCCTCGATGTTTATTTAGTAGATTTTAGACAAGTTTTGCGATCTCTAATATAAATGGTCGACCTTAAGACATTCCTGTCTTCAAACTGATTTAGTACTTAACTGACTCTTATTTTATATGTGTAGGTTCCAAAGAAAAGCTTGATGCTTGGAAGACAAATTTTAGTAGAAAAAATGGAAGTGAAGAAATTTGCATAGGTGAAGATGCGTTTGAAGTTGAAAGCGATAAAGAAACGAAAATTTCCATTACGATGATGCTTACACACCATTGCGTCAAAATACAAAAGAACAACAATGTGTAGAATCTAATCTGACAGTACCAGGTCGATGATATTAACAGTGTTTTGCATACATTTCTGCCTCTGATTTGAGCTAAGCTTTGCTCTTTCTTTTAAAGCGTTCGTTGTGAAGTTTTGTACAAGATTTCTATTGAACGTTTTGCTTCGAAATATAAATTTAGAGT